TTTTTTTTTGAAAACATGTACCCCCGTAAACAAGAAAGAATTAGATCAATATTTTCTTAACAATCTTCAGTCCTTTACACATTGATTACTGAGAAAAAGAAATATCTTTCTTGTGGCTATAAAATGACTTGATTAAATGTAGATTTGTATCATTTAAGGAAGCATTAAGTTTGTCCTAGAGAGGTAGATGAAACTTTTGAAGCCCTTCCAATCTCCTTTAGGATTATTAGTTACATCTTTATTTCTGTTGATAATTCAATCAGGCAGCAGTTTCCTCTCTGACTTCTAGAGGGTTGCAATTGCTCTCGTCCCGTTTGTGTTCATGAGCCTTATATCAGTGGCTATTCGGGGTGTTGGGGGTATGTATCTCAAAGCATGCTTTTGAACAAATAGGATAAGACTAAAGGTAATCAAGAAGTTAAAATAAGAAAAAAATATTTTCGTTTACATATATTGGCATTAGTAAATAATTCGTCACCCGTGCAGTGAGTGCACCAAGTGCACAGAATGCCTCTGCATTTCCCTGGATTGTGATCACTTGGACGATCAAAGCAGAGCTCTCCCGGAGAAAAGCCGAGGCAGGAGGTTCCCGCTGCACGGGACCGATGTCTCCATGGTGCGTGGCCCGTCCCCGAGAGCTTCCCGTGGGCGAGGCAGGGCGGGCATCTCTCGGCAGCGCTCGGTGCCTGCAGTGCCGGGAGGAGGCTGCGGGCGCCGCTGTTGACCGAGATGAGCGAGAGGAAGGTCGGAGCGCTGCAGCCCCGCCCGCTGCGGACCGGCTCGATTGCTGGATAACTGGATTTCTAGCTCTGCGGCCGGGCGGTTTCTGATCGTCCCCGCGGTGTGGAACCGCTCTGCAGCGAGGTGGAGAGCCCGGCGGCAGCAGCTGGAAGCGGCTGACGGGAGTTGTACCTTGAGCCAGATCGGTGAGCAGCGGCGGGGATCTGCCGGTGTTGTTGCGGTGCCGGCGGTGCGGTGGCGGCGATGTGCTCTGCGGGGAGGCGCTGGGGCCGGCGGCAGCGAGTCCTGCTCTGGGGCGTCCTGCTGGCGGCCTGGGAGGCGGCGTGGGGGCAGCTGCGCTACTCGGTGCCCGAGGAGATGCCCAAGGGCTCGTTCGTGGGCGACGTGGCCAAGGACCTGGGGCTGCAGATATCGGAGCTCCAAGACAGCGGCGTCGGCGTTGTCTCTGTCGGTAGGACGCAGTATTTCACTCTACACGAGAAGACGGGACATTTAATGACTGCCGAGAGGATCGACAGAGAGCAGCTGTGCGAGAGTGTGGAGCAATGCGTGCTGCGCTGTGAGCTGATAGTGGAGGGACAGATGCAGGTTTATGGAATCGAGGTGGAAATCATGGACATCAATGACAACACCCCTAGTTTCAAAGAAATTGAGCTCGAAGAGAGAATGAGCGAGACAACGGCTCCGGGGTCGCGGTTTCCCCTGGCCGAGGCTCATGACCCGGACTCGGGACGGAATTCCTTACAGAGCTACGAGCTGAGCGGCGACGACCACTTCTCGCTGGCCGTGCAGACGGGCCCCGGCGGGGATCAGCGTCCCGAGCTGGTGCTGGCGAAGGCGCTGGACCGGGAGGAGGCGACGTTCCACGAGCTGGTGCTGAGGGCGATGGACGGCGGCGATCCGGCCCGGACGGGCACGGCGCGGATCCGCGTGACGGTGGTGGACGCGAACGACAACGCGCCCGTGTTCAGCCAGGCGGAGTACATGGTGCGTGTGCCGGAGGACGTGCCCGTGGGCTCTGTCCTTGTCACCGTCACGGCCACCGACCACGACGAGGGTATAAACGGGCACGTGAATTACTCGTTGAAGAAAATAACAGAAAAAGCAACAAAGATTTTCCATCTGGACTCTGAGACGGGAGCGATCACGTTAGTGCAGAGCCTTGATTATGAAGAAGGCGATTCATATGAACTGGAGGTACAGGCACGGGACGGAGGAGACCTTTTCGACACGGTGAAAGTTACAATTGCCGTGACAGACGTAAATGATAATGTGCCCGAGATTTTCGTGCGCTCGGCATTGAGTGAGATTTCTGAGAATGCCCCGCCAGGGACGGTGGTGGCCCTGCTGCACGTGCACGATCGGGACGCCAGGGCCAATGGCGAAGTGCTCTGCTCTCTCGACGGGGACATCCCGTTCCGCCTGGAGAAGTCCCTCGAGGACTACTACCGCGTGGTGACAGCGAGAGAGCTGGACCGCGAGCAGCAGTCGGAGTACAACGTGACGGTGCGGGCGTCCGACGGCGGGTGGCCGGCGCTGCAGAGCAGCAGGGTGCTGGCGCTGCGGGTGCTGGACGTGAACGACAACGCGCCGGTGTTCTCGCAGGAGCGCTACAGCGCGCGTCTGCGGGAGAACAACGCGGCGGGCGCGCTGGTGCT